TCAGCATATGAATACAGAAAGTCAGCCAAGCACATAAAAAACAATGTCAGCTGCAGTTATTTTGGGGATGGTACTTTGGTTTTGGTATACTCCACTGTTACATTTATAGATTCTAAAGAAATTAAGTCTTATTTTCAAGTGTAATTACCACAGAAGGCATGGAAAATGGAATTTTCAAAGCAGCTCAAGGAAATTGAGGACCCTGGCTTTAAGTAGGCAGGAAAATATGCCAAGTCTCTTTTGAACATGCCAGTATCAAGCATGTGTATGTGAGCATTCTGTTACTTGACACAGGTTCGTTATAAGCTAACCAGCTGATAATGTTTTTGCAATACTAAGTGATCTTATATACAGAAATATTTCAAATCATGTTCTATTTGTCATGAGAAAGAATGTGTTTTCTAGTTTCTGCAGGGGGGAGGTTGTTTGGTTTTGTTTGGCTGTTCATTTTTTGATTTTTTTTTCCTGGACAGTATTATGGGCCAAATGATCAATCATTTTATGTAAAAGGCAAAGTTTGGTGTAAATGAGACCAGAATACATAGGTATGTGCTAAATCAGATATTTTTAAATGCATGCCACTTGAGATTGCAGAAGAAAAAACACACTCATAAATATTAGTGATTTGTTTGAAGTCAGAGCGCATTTCTCTCTGTGGATCTATTTACAGTCTCAGGATAAGAAATTCCTATGCTAAGTAGCAGGAACTGATGTGTGAGACTTTCACATACTTAGAAGAAAAACATGAGTTGTAATTTTCTGTTTCTCAGACTAAAGAAAATTCATGAGTCTTGTAGCTGGGATATAAAACTAATGCTGCTTACTTAGAAGAACATTAATCACACGTGCAGTTTTCCACTTGAACTGTGGTATCTGTAGTACTCAAAGGAGTCAGTTCTCACAGAATATTTTTCATCTGGCTTTGTCCTCTTGTTAAAATAAATCTATTGTATTACCACTGACCAAGCTGAGATTTTAATGTAATATTTTTGTATTTTTAATTTTTATTTTGTTGCTATATTAAGACCAGAAACACAAATGGATTATTGTGAGACCTGAAGTGTTCCCTTTTTTTGCTTCTGGAGTTCAGTTCCATACAATATTAGCAATCCACTTCTGTACTAAAGCCAAGCAGTGACAGTTGCAATAATGAATATTTGCTGCAGGCCACTGGTATGAAAATAGCACAGTGCTGCAAGCCTGCGTCACCAGAAACAAATCTTCCATTTGACTGTGACTGGATTTCCAGCTCAATTTTAGATCATTTATTATTGAAATAGTTCTTAAAGCACTGTCATAATATAAGGTTAAGAAATGCTGATTCAGTCTACAAGACATCAATTCAAATGCTTTCCTACTCCTTTTTGGTGTTTAGTTTGTTTGGTTTTTTAATCCCTTATACCTTTAATGCTGTACCCTGTATTTAGGGCACTGAACTGTGGACAGCAGCAACACTGTAATATATTCAAAGGGACACATGCTGATTAGGTTAGAAGTTCTGGTGAAAAATGGATTTGAAATCCCTCTTTGTAAGCTTACTTGACAGTTTTTAGAATATTTTATCCTTAATTCCTGCTGAAAATTCTAAGCTTTATATGTAGAGGAGCAGCTTTGCCTCTTTAAACGTGTCATGGCTTTTACATGGTGAACTGGAATGGCTTTCTATTTATGTTTCGATGTCATTAATGTATTTGTATTAGTGAAATATAAAATGTATTAACATAAGGCACATTTTGAGAGTGGAGAATATATGCCCTGAGCTTTGATTATCTTTTTTAGATGAAGAATATGCAGATGATATTTATAATTTTTAGTTTAATTTTTATGTGTTATGTTGCTTCCACTCATGCATCTCAAAATAATCTAAAAATACCCCAAATAACTAGCATAATTGATTGTATTTTCTTTTCACTTTAAAATAATTACATAGTGAAATGTTAGCTCAACACAGATATAGAATTTTAGATACTTGAAGCAGAATAAAATCTGCTGTTATTTAAACTTCTTTTTGTTTCTTTTTTCTTCATTTCCTCAGGTTTTCTCATGGAAAGTAAAGAAATTATGATCTATATTTTGCTTAGGGCTAAATAGTGACCCTTGCACTGCAAAGCTGGTAATCGTGATTGAGGTACATATATAATTTCCTGAAAGAGCACCAACTTTGCCATCAATTCTGAGAGAATGTTAATGTCTTCTTTTTCTTTTCTTTCCCTCTCCCTGGTGTCATCTGCCCTTTGCCTTCCATTTCGCCAAGACAGTACATTGGCCAAACCTACTACTGTAAACTAGTACTAGGATGGAGAAACTGATGTTTTAAAAAGAGTGCCCTGTGCTGCTGGGATTGGGCTTTTGAGGAAAATAATTTTACTCCAGCAATTTTCAACTGAAAGACAGCAAACATTTAATGGATTCTCTGGGATGGGGAAGAAGTGACTAGTTAATTCTAATATTTTGTGAACAGAACTTCAAAAGCTTTGTTTTCTCATCAGTTTTCCAAAAACAGGCTTAATATTTCAAAATATTTTTTTTAAAATTATTGTTGGTCTTTTAAAATTATAAAATAGAAGAGAATATTCAAAAAGGTAACGTCATTCCTTCTGCATCAGCATTTAACATCTTCAATACGTTCGGGATACAACCAACTTCAGGCTCACTTTCAGGAAAAAAAGGCAAACTGATTTGACCTTACATGCTTTGTTATATGCTTTAATGTCTGGCAGTACATAGAATAAGACAAACTCTGCTTTCTTTGGTTTATGAACAATAATTTTTAAAGACCCTCTGGGAGAATATGTAGAAACATTATAAAATACACTATGTATAGAAATTATTATAGCTTCAGTCAGTGGCCTTATTCCCACTGACTGAAAGGGGATCAAATTTCTGTAGATATCTGTTCAGTCAACTTCAAGTCCTCCAGTAGGAAATATTTCTGGATCTGTGTAGGTGGGTTATTCCCAGGTTTCATAAACTTTAATATTAGAAAGAATTTCCTGATGTTTAATCTCAGTCTCTCTTGATGTAATCCAGTAGGTCTTCTTCTACTAGGAGGGATCAGGGAGAAGGGTATATTTTCTACTTTTTAGCTACCTTCTAGAGGTATGAAAAATATTGTCAGCATTTGGTCTTCATGTTCCATATTCACAGTCCATATTTTCTAAACCTCTGGTTTGTTTTGGCTTCCTCTCTCACATTTCCTCTCTTGTTGTTTTGCATTTGTATTGCTGCTGGATTAACAACAAAGCAAGTAATTGTTATTTTTTTTTGACATTGCTGTCCCCAGGCTGTACACAGTGCCTCTAGAGCTGATTAGAGGATGAAAAAAATATCTCATAAACCTTTTGCTTTGCACTTTCAATATGGTGGGGACCAGTGGTGGTCATAACATAATGACATAAGAGCCTCAATATGGTGGTCATAACATAATGATATACGAGATCTGTGTTCATCTTGTCTTCTACTGAAAGATTTTTCTGAAAAACAAGAAAATAATCAGGATGAAATACACAATAAAAACTCCCCAAAAAGCACTACTAGGGCTGTTGTCATCATCTTCCTTTAATAGATCAGATTAATCCTACTGAGTGTGGATTCCTGCAATTGTCTTTACTGAAAGCCATCTAATTTTCTAGACTGTTTCTTCAATGCATTAAAATTGTTTTGAATCATGTCTCAGTGTTTGTTTACTTGCTTCCAGTTTGATATTGTCTGCTAAGTTATTAGGCATGTTCCTCATTAACAAAGTTGTTGAACAGTATTAATCTGCAAGACACCTCTATGGCATCAGTTAGTTGTGTCCCTTCTGCATCAGAGCACATACTTAGATCAATAAATAAAAGAATTGTTATTTTGTCTATTCTAATAGGTAGTGATAAATAAAGCATCAGTAACACCAATGGATGTATGAAACTAAAATGAGCTGGAAAGTCCCCAAATTGAGACATACCTCAATAAAGTAACTAAGGTTTCTTGTGAGGAAAGGAAAACTATTACTCAGTAGGCTTAATATGATAAAATACAATGGTGCAAGGGCAGAAGAGTTCCTGTCCTTTCTCTCCTTCATGTGCCATACCTGCCATCATCTTCACTGCCTCAGCACTGGATCTTACTGTCCTCTACCTTTCTAAATACTTAACTACCACATGATACTGCTGTATCCAAATATCATGTATATATTATTCAAAATACAGTACCATTGTGTATTTTCTCTCTCTTCAATTCAAGAACTATAGAAAAAGAACAAGTTCTGAGGTGAAAGAACTAGGCTTCCAAACAGATTTAAGTATATATACCACGCTTATAGTTTTTCCAAAAAAACCACTGATATGCACAATGAAAATCTTATTACTGTTTAAGTCTCAGATACAGCATGTTGTATATTTAATTACTGTATGTGTCATTGTTATGCAATTAAAGGATAATAATATATACTGTGTATTAATAATTGCCTTCATCCTTTTAATGTTAGTTTTGGGTACAATCGAGTGAAGTATCAATTTAATTTTCTTTTTTTACGAGATATAAAGGAAGACAATTATTTTCATTTTATTTTTATTAGTATGAGATGTTAAAACTTCAGCTTGGCTACTCAATCAGTATAAGTATTATGTGGTACCATGGCAGTTTATGCATCTGAAGTGCTGCGTATGAATTTTGGCTGCCTATTGTACCGGTCATTTACACAACCTCTTTTAGCGGATTATTCTTCAATTCTTCAGTACAATCTTAAAGATGTTTCTTTTCAGTTTATGAATTTTGTGTTAGCAGAATGCAGGAGACAACACGTGGCATTTCAATACATGGGAGTACTGTGTTTTGTAACCACACAAAATACACAGAATAAGGCCAGATTAGGTCATTAGCGTTAGTGGAACCATCACCGGCACAATCTGCCTCTCTGTGATTGCAGCATTGGGATGCAAACAACCAAGCATCAAAGGTCACAGGATTTTTTGTTTTGTTTTGTTTTGTTTCCTTCCATCTTCTCTCTTTGCCCACAGACGCTACCACAGGGACACCAGCAATATCAACAACGACAACCGTGGAAATCCGGAAGAGCAGTGTTATGACAACTGAGATCACCTCTAAAGTGGAGAAAATCCCCACGACAGCCACTAGCAGCACCGCTTGCCCTTCCATTGAAACTGAGGAAGAAAAAGCAAAAAGACTGCTGTACTGTTCACTATGCAAAGTCGCTGTCAACTCTGCCTCACAGCTGGAGGCGCACAACAGTGGTGAGATGGAGCAGTGCTTGCTTTCTTCCTTTTTTTTTCTTTCTGTCTCAAGAGCGCTGCAATTATCTTCCCCTGAATAGATTAGATCTCTTGCAGCAGGGGACAAAGAGGTGGCAGAAAACTGGCAATTACATGGAATTCATTAACTATTAAAGGATAAAAATGACAGGCAAAGAGGCTTTCATAAAGGGAGAAGAAAGGAATTTTATTGCATGCAAGTTGCATATTTTCTTACGTTTTAGCTTTTGCAGCTTCGAAACCTTATAGAGCTAAATGACAGCTCTGCTTCATTACCTTTGGTCTTCAGAGTTTGCATAGTTTAGCTTATGCCAGCTAGCAAACTGAGTATGAATGCCATTAGCTTTGTCTGAAATCTAACAAATTAAGGCTCAAAGAGGGAGCGCCAGTCAGTCAGAGTTCAATGATAGGAGTTAGAGTTCTTAGCTCCATATTGTCTGCTAATAAATAACTTGTTAAAATTATGTATATTTCCCTTTGTTTTCATCAACTGATAGCAGCTTTTGCATGAGAGTTGAAAGGGTAATTGCCTACCTCCATCTTTCTTAATTTTCAAACCTCTTCTTATTATTAGAGCTAGTAGCATTAATAAGTTCCAGTAGAAGAGAGCCATCATTCACAATCACTATTTTTAGCACCTTATTGATTGACTGTGTAGTGAGCAGTGTTAAAAGATCTAGGGATTCAATATGGTGGCATCAAGGGTAAATAGACTTAAGAAACAGACATAACAGACATAACAGACATAACAGTGAGGGTATACCTAGAGCAAAATGATCAATGGTTTTGTGATGTAATGAAAAAAAAGAAAATAACTTTGGTGTGTCTACGGAATTCACTTAAATTAAAAAGGAAATTATAATTTGTTGGTATTCATGAGAATCAAAGCCTAATCAGTTTTGAATGCTGTTTGCTGTATGCCAGATCTTCAAATGGTGAAAGTTCAACTTCATAAATCTGTACCCTTTTAAACTATTTAATTTCATATGAGGGTCAGACTATAAACATTATTCTGATCAGGCTGTGAGCCAAAACATTATTCTGAATGTTTAAACACAACCCTCCAAGTTTTAGCTGCCTATGCTATAAATTGTGATTGTGCTCACACACATACATGCTAGTAAAAGTGTCTGTGTGGATGCATATAGCAATTATCAGTGGAACGGCAGTTCTGTACACAGTAGTAGTCCATTATCATCACAGACTACCTGTGTGGAAGTAAATAGTGTAAGCAATTGTTCAGTCTGAATAAAGGTACAGCAACTGAACACTGTTGTTTTCTATCCAACCTTTATTAAAAAAAAAAAAAACAAACAGAAAAATAAAAAAGCAAGTGCATTTTTTTCACATGCATGCTTCTCACATGTTTTGGTTTCTGTCCAGGCCATTAAGGATCCATAGGTTGCTGCCAGAAGCTTCTGCCCCTTTCTGGTTTGGAGACTAATTAGTTGATTACAGATTTAATTGTAAACTATCTAAGACATACTGTTTATCAATCTGTTCAGGAGAACTACAAATCAAAGCCAACTACACCTTTAATAGATAAATTACTCTTCTTTTGCAACTACAATTCAGGTCTTATTAGCAGCAGGAGTTAACGAGAAAAGTCACACCCATTTAACTTCACATCAGGATACTTGATTGTGCTACTACTTTCTGGTGTGGCTGCTTTGTTCTAGTGCATTACCTATAGGTATGTAATTTAGTAAGTATCAGATGTGAAATACTGTTACATTAGTATGAATCTGATACAGACCAACACAGCCATATTCCAAGGATAGAATGTGGCACCAAGAGGAGGTTCATATGATTTTATTTTAAAAAGGAAATAAAACAATGAATGCAACCCAATTGCCAAAGTTGTTTCTGTTTCCCATTTCTAATGTCTCCAGGGACTAAGCACAAAACTATGCTGGAAGCTCGGAATGGAAGTGGAACCATAAAAGCCTTTCCCCGGGCAGGCGTAAAAGGCAAAGGACCTGTGAATAAAGGAAACACAGGCCTTCAGAACAAAACATTTCACTGTGAAATATGTGATGTGCACGTAAACTCTGAGACACAACTGAAACAGGTACTCAGCTTGCAGATTGAGAATCCTTGGCTGTTTTTTGTTTTCATGGTGGTAAAGTACCAACACAGTCAGCACGTGCCAATATAACAGTTTGTGTCCGAATGGAGCTTACAGATTTTGTCCTTTGTACTTGGCTGTCATGCTGTGTGTTTTGTTTCAGATATGGTTTCACCTTGCATGGAATATGTTTTCTCAAAAGCTCTCAATTATACATATTTCTTAGAGAGCTACAACATATTACAAATGTCTTTAGAGTACTAGAATTGTCATGAGCTAATAAACCCTGCCATTTAGTGTACTGCATGATATTTGCCTTGACAAAGATGTGAAGATGGGTAAGTGAAAGCCAGTACTTTCACGGAGCACTGAATAACTTGCTTAGAAATGTATATGGAAAGAATTTCTAATATTTTTTATCTATGTTTCTTTCTAACTGAGAAGCAGTACAATTACACTAAGTTATGTTCAGTCATTCTTCAGATGATCAAAGCCTTCCAAAAAATACTTAGTCTAATTCCATATGCCTTTTGGAATTAAATGCTTGTTAAAGAACTTTACAAGAATGAATATAAATTCAGTAATGGACAATACCCTTTTTCTAGTTTCAGGAAAAAAAAAAAGTCTAGTTCTTTTTTTTTTTTTTGGTGACATCTCTCTTGAGATGAAAATCAAAGTAAAAATAATTTTTTGTTTGGAAAAGGTCCTTCAGAAAAGGGTCTCTTCTAATACTGCAATAAAGTCTGTGTAGAAGGATACTTACAAAATCTCACAGATCTTAGCAAGAAGATAGTGGATTTTGTGGGGTTTTTTCTCTGTCACTTAGTACCATCTTAAAAGGATCTCCAGGCTTCTCAGGGATTTAAACAATTTTGTGACCTTATTTTTTTCCTGAATAGGGGATGCTCTACTATCTAATATTCTTTGAAAACTTTCTATCAGCAGTGGATTGAATTTGATGGGTGCTTTACAGAAATAGGGAGGAGTTTTTCAAAGGCTTCTGTCTTTAACTTGATTCAGGTTCTGTTGAAGTTAGAAAAGATGAGAAAATCATAGACTACAGTGGAAGCAAAGTTGAACTGAGCACTGTTGAAAATCATGGTCCCAATATGTGATGCACAAAGGATCATTCAAATTCCAACAGACCCTATTCCCTTTCATTATTGAATTAGTCAAAGTAATGCTGTTGTGGAAAGCAGAAGTCTTTAGTATTGGAGCAGTAACCTTGTGTAAACAGAACCTGAAAAGATCTGTTAAGGAACTATCACTCTTTGTTTTCTTTTTTATTCCCACCCCAAATATATTTTAACAGCACATAAGCAGTAGAAGGCACAAAGACAGAGCTGCTGGGAAGCCACCTAAACCTAAATACAGCCCTTACAACAAGCTCCAAAAGGGAACACATCCTCTAGGGGTAAGTTAATCCACTTTTTATTACAATTTTATTTTAACCCAAATGAGCAGGACTTTCAGAAAACATAAGTGGATAAATGTGTAAAATGATAGGAATAGTGTAAACCATGGGAGTGTACAAGTACATGAATGACCCAATGGAAGTTCATAAATTACTTTTTTATATACTTTGGTGGGTGTTCACTACAGCCTGTGGGCCCTTGTTTTTGTAGCTACTCTGAATTAACTCAGAAAAGAAGCTTGCTGCAAAGGTCATTAGAGAGCAAGAGACAAAAAAAACCTCCAGATGTTAAACAGGATTTTTCCAGTTTTCATCATGGACAATAGTGTTGAAATAACTAAGTAAAACTCTATAAAACATAAAACCTTCATTCTATCCTTATTTAGAAAATTGTTCAGATAACGAGTGAAACAATTAAAAAAATCTGTCCCTTAATTCCACTCAGTTTCAGGATGGTTCTGGTCACATTTTCCACTGCCAGGATAAACTATCTGAAACACAATTCTTACTAACTTCAAAAGCTGAGAAAAAGGTTTACTTTTTAATAAAAAAAAACCCTCTAGGATTCTGCCATTAGTGAAGAATTAGCTTATATTGTGGGTGGGATAATGAAACATTTGACATTTATCTCCTCCATCAGATAAACTGCATGAATGTTTTATCTGCTTTTTTTGTAAGGGTTTATAGATGGTTTTGGCAGAGGGAGGATGTTGATTCATTGGCCTCATAGAGATTAGCACCTTTATGTCTTGCCATCTTCTCTAATGCAGGCAGAATATGGAGCTTTTTTTCCTGTGGAAACCCATTTCTCTTTAAACTGAGTGAAAGCTCTTTTCTTGGAACTGTGTCCTTGTTGGGGCAAGCCTTATGAGTGGTATATTAATGTATGATTCAATTGTGGAATAATGTAGTGCACCACACTGGTAGATCTAACAGTAGGGAAATAGCCCCATAGGGTTTTTCAGTAATCCACCAGAAAGATCAAGGTCTCCAATAGACATAAACTGTAGTGAAAGAAAATATGAGATAAGTGGAATATGAAATCATTAAAGCCTTTCTATCAGGATTATTATTCCTTTAGGAAATTCATTGTTTCCCAGGGGAGGAAACAACTATTACGTTACTGTTGTTGTACACAGTCCCCTATTTACCAGTTTATGTAATGGTAATTTCTGAGAACTCCAGCCAAGGTTCAAGGCCATTTAGTTGTTGCATAGGTAAATAAAGGCAATATGTCATTTTCCTGCTCCCTCCCAATTGCTCACAATATACAAATCAGACCAGAGGGAATCAAAGAGGCAAAAGGGATTTAAGAAAGAGAGAATGAGTTAGCAATAAATGAACAGATATGTGTAGTAAAATGGAGGGTGCACTAAGAAAGGAGGGACCAATTCTCCACTTAGTCTTTTTGGGTTTGAGTACAAAAACTATCAAAATTGCTGTCACTTGAAGTGCAGAATGGCACAGCAACATGCCAAAGATATAATTTCAATTGTAATGTAAATGGTTTTGAAGAGCTATTTCTTTACTTTTTCTTTACCCCCTGTCCCTAACTGAAACCAAGACACTCCCCATTATTTTTTTAAGTCATTTGCTGTCACTTAGTTTACTTCATTGGAAATGAAACAAATAATGACTATTTTACTCTGAATGCTGACCTGTGTGTTAATTGGAGGTTTGAAATGAAGGTGTAAGGTACTGTATATGTTAAATATTACTAGTTTTGCAGCTACCTCAAAATCAGAAACATGTTGGTAAATTAACTGAAAAGCTATCTAACTTCATTAGAAGTGCTGGATTCCTTCAAGAATGATAGGAAAGTCGTAGTCTAATAGAAACAGACACAGAAGATCTTTTTTTGTTCTTCATGACAAAAACTGTATAAGCATCACTCAATTGTCTAAAAAAGAAATTAAAAAATGAACATAGTACATTTTCTAAGCTCTTCTAGACCAAAACCTTTCCTTTGCCATGTTTTCAGTATCATTTGTACTGCTTTGTCTATTCTAGATTTGTATGCTTCAGAGATAGAAGCTTTATAAATTCCTACCATGCTATTTCAAAGTTTAAGAAGTCTTGTAATGTTGGGACGTACTTGATATTTCTTTAAGCCACAAGTGTCCAGCATCCATAAAATACTACACAGGAAAAAAAAGGTTATCAGTTGTTTCTGAAATAAAATAGCTCTTACAAAAAACATCCTTCATTGGGACTTTTAGAGCACAAAGTACTTTGTACTCAGGATTAATTTTTTTTAAATTCTTTTTTCCCCTGAGATTTTTTTTTTCCTGTTCTAAATAAGGCTGAAAAAGGTATTTACTAAAAAATGTAAGGAAGGAGGAAAAAGTCAATTGCTCAGCAAGGGAAGAAGACAGCTTGGATCAGTGGGTGTAACAGTGATCAAGGAAAAGATCAGATCATTGCTTTTCATAGGCACCATGGGGATTTTTATATCTAGCAACCATTATATCCTCTGTTAAGATAATTACAGAATTTAATTCCATCTGAGTATTTCTTCCAGAGCCTTAAAGGACCTGGAAGCCAACAGAGTTGCCAATGGGTGTTGTGAAAAGTAAAAATCCTCTATCCATCTGGATAGTAAAGAATGAACAGACTATTTGGAATATGGTGATAGTATAATGATTGAACTCACTTGTGGCTCATGCCAGAGTACTCCTGTCCTTACTTTCTGGTTATTCACTCACAAGGTACTGTTGAGCTGAAAATGTCAGAGTGATGTTGTGCAACTAATTATTTGAAAACCCCTTTCAATTCAAGGATGAAAAATTGTGTTTCCCTGTAAGAAGTGTCTATACTTACAGGGAGGTGTATCATGGAATGGTGCATATATTCATATTCTGTCTATTCAATACTATATATTCAGTTTTATGTTCTTTGGAAATGGCCTTAGGTCATGCTAGGACACAAACGCACCAAAAGTCCATCAGAGCCAATGGGAAATTTTCTTTGCTGGTAAATGAGGTTTCTATTCTTATCTGAGAGTTATAAAATCAGAACAACAAAGATATTCAGTCTCCTGGTATCTTACTAGAAACTTGAAATCCCACTGAAAACTGTAGAAATCTATAGAGACTACTCTGATGTTCATTAGCATGCATATCAAGCATAAATTCTCCTAAATAATATGAATCTCTATGAGTATTTTCCAGCAGTCTGGGAAAAACTTGAGGGTTTTGGTTTTTTTCCTTTTTTAAAAACTCTAAATGAGGGGTTTTCTTGATTGGATTTGGTAGTGCACAACTCTTGTGCTTTAAATGGTTTTGGTTTTTTTTCAGAAGAAGCGTCAGTGACAGAAACAAAATTATCATGGTTTGGCAGTATACAAACTGCTATAGGCAAGAATGTTTTCGTAACAACACTTTAAAATATCTGCCATGTTTTCACAGTCCTTTGTAAGAATGAACATTACCTTAGTGAAAAACATTTGAAGACACAGTGAGATTACATAGGGCAGCACCCATTTAAACACATGAAACATGGGAGATTTTCATAACCCATGCAAGATAAGATTGCTCATTATTTGAAGCAGGAGCTAATGAAGAGGAGCTATCTGGAGATCTTAGTTTTAAGTAGAACTTGCATCTTAATGATTGAAACAAAAGTATCTTCTTAGTCAGATCAGAGAATAGGATATATTTTCATTCTACTCTGGTCTCTATCATAAAGCTGTCCAGATGGAGGTCTTTTAATTGATATCTAATTCTTCCTTATTTAATTCTTGCCGAGTACATGCAGCTTTACTTCGGTGCAGATTGCCCTGCCCCTTTTTAGATTTGCCTTGATTTCTGATCTAATAATAGATTATAAGTGTCAGTGATAAAGAGTGAATGCTGAAACTCTTTGTCCTCAGTCAAATCCTTGTCCAGTGGGCGAGATTGTATCTCTTGTCACACGCCTGCAGCTCATAGAGTCAGTAGCCACCACAAGGCCTCTCTTGCTTGATTTTGCATGTATAATCTTAAGTCAACCTCCCTGTCGCGTAGCTAACATGAACAAATTATGTCTCTCTGTTTGTTTGTTTTCTCTCTTCCCCACAGGTAAAATTAGTATTTTCAAAGGAAGCTTCAAAGCCGATGGCTCCACGAATCTTACCAAATCCGCTAGCAGCTGCAGCAGCAGCTGCTGCTGTGGCTGTGAATTCCCCCTTCAGTCTTCGCACAGCCCCAGCAGCCACCCTTTTCCAGACTTCAGCACTTCCTCCAGCACTCCTACGACCAGCTCCTGGGCCTATACGGACCACCCATACTCCTGTGCTGTTTGCTCCTTACTGAACTCCAAACAGGAAATAATTGTACTGCAATAATTTTTCAAAACAAAACAAACAAAAAAATGAAAATCAAGAACATTGAACTATGCAGTGTTTATTTATAGTTTAAAGTATATATGAAGAGCCAGAACTTTTGATAGAGAACTGAACAAATTCTGAAAGGGGGAATGGGCAGTATTTTCTCCAGATGAGAACATTCCTCTTGAGCATTGATCGTTTTAGAACTGATCTCCAGCATTGACTTGTAGTGACATATAAAGCCTTTTGACTGTGCATTTTGCCACATATTTCCCTGCAATGTCTTTCCTGCTTTATGAAGCAACTTACAAATTTGTCTAAAGGGCATTAACTGGTTCCAATGTATATAAAATACTTTATTCTGTAGATTAAAGAAGAAGGAAAAAAAAGAAACACTGTGAATAGTAGTACCCTTACCAATCCTCCTGCCAAGTCAGCAGGTACTGGGTATTTATCTGAACAACAGTAGATACAATAGACGTCTTGTAAAACAGTAGTATTGTGTCTCTATCTATGCCACTAGGTTTCTAACTGAGTTGCAAAAGATAAAATGAACAAATTATGTCGCTTTGGTAAGTAGTCAAAAACGATGACAATGATGTGGAGCTGTTCCTGGTGAGCAAAAATTGTTTTCCTTGCCTGTAGCAGAATGGGCAAGAAGATAATCTACGTTAGGTAAAGGAAAGTGATAAAGAAGATCTAGTGGGGGAAAAATAATTAGGATACTGTACACAGAATGGATCGAACGTTTATTTAACTGAGAACGTATGTGTACAGTGTGTGTTTATTCAAAAAGTGTAATACATACAGAATAGATCAATGTTTAAGACATGCCAGTGGACAGCAAAAAATACACTCTTGTCATGAAACAGGCCTGACACTTCAGTGTTGAGCAGAGGGAAGACACAAATGGGTTACACATAGTCATAACTAACTAATGAAAAACAGGAGAGAAACTCTGGCCTCGTTTAAGTTGGTATAAAGTTCTTTCTGACTGCAATGTAGCCAGAATTTCATCACAAGAATGGCACATATTCTTTTTATATCACACCAGTGGGAGTGTCTGTAGATACAGGTAATATTTTTTGCAATAGGCTTAGTCTTAGAAACAGATTTATTCTCTTGTATTATTTCCTACTGATGTGATATAAAATGTTTAATATACCTATAAAATGTAAACAGTGACACATGAGATACATATTACGAGATAACTGCACATCATGGGTTTGGAACAAATGCAACCTTTAGGATCTGAAGGGACCCTTGAATTCTGTAGCTGACCGTTATGTATGGACAGCTTAAAGCCTTATATATTTACTGTGAGGCTTAAAGGGGTTGACTGTGTCCCTTTAAAGTAAGATTTATCAGGGGTATATATAGATATATTGTATATATGTTAGAGTAAGAAAAATAACTTATAAACAGAAGATCTACTATATAAAATAATTATATAACCATTGAGTTTCACATGTGGGTCATTAAGTGGTAAGTAACAAACAGCAGAGAAAAAAATAGACTTCTTGAATCTGATTCTTGCTGCCTGCTTTTTCCCATAGGGAGCTGAAAAGTATCTATTAATATTATGGAGTGCGCTGCTGAGTCACGTGCGACCACTCTGATGTGTAGCTAAGTGAAATGCCTACCATACATTTAGGCAGAATAAAATTTAAAAACATAATTTAAGTTTAAATGTGGAAATTATTCGAAAGACTTTATTAAAAGGCAGTAATGCAAAATATTGACCGTGTGGTTGCTGTATAATGCTGCCTGTGGTTAATATGGACAGGTGGGAGTATAGAGGATGGGAATATACAGCACTTTTGACTTGCAGTTCATCAGTGAGCCTTCCATATGCATTCGTATTTGCCATTTTTTAAACCTCTCCGCATTTAGATTTTATAAAAAAATATATAAAGAGAGAGAAAGAAGAGGTTCCATGGATGTCTGTGTCCAAAGAATTCCAAAGAGATGCATTTATTTATCTAGAAGTATTAAAATAAGTTCTATATTATGTATTTGTATTTCATCCAGTTTGTTTGCAAACGTTTGTGCCTTGAAATGAAATGGGCTTTTGTTTATATTTAATTCACAACTATGTAGCCATGAAAAAGATGTGATGGTGTTTTCAGGGCTGATTACCAGCTGGATTGCTTTGGCCCAACTTCCAAAACAACAGTATGAGTAAGTTCCTGAAGCCAAGTTTAGACATCTAAAAAACTAGGGGCTGACATTTAAAAGGGCTCTCTACTCTACAGCTCCCAGTAAAGACATAGTAAATAAGCCAGCCTACTAGACCTGCTCCTAGCACTCAATTTAGAAAATGTTTCATTTTGTTTGGGTACATAATATATTAAGGTTGGACTCCATTTTGCAAAATCTGGGACTAGGTATTTTAAGCCTGCTTTCAAACTTCCATCTTTTTGCAGAATCTGTAGTGCCAGTGCCAGCTGTGTTCAGATTCCTCCTTGAATAGGGAACCAGTTTCCAAGGCGCGCTCCATGAACCACCATTTATCTCCAGAGACTTTTGTAAGAACCTGTGTAAGGAGCAGAGGAGGACTTATATTTTGGGAAAGGAGAGGATCTGGTCAGGCTATCTTTTCCCCATGAGAAAGCATGCAGATGGGAAAACAGGAGATCTACAAATATCCTGTAGGCTCTTCTATGCATAGCCTTCTGGTGCATGGACAGCTGCTGTACATTCTGCGATGTTGTGATGCCATCAAAATCAACAGGCTGATCCTTGCCAAAATGTGGCCTGTGGCATGTATGGAGGCACAGTACTAGGGGCAGAGTTAATACAAATTTTGCTAGAAATAAAAGAGTGTCATTCCTACTACTTACATCAGCTAATTTGCAATGACACCTTCAGTATTCTTGGACCTCTTTTGTCACAGTGCTCTATGGAACAAGTTTTTGTTCACACAAATCTCTTTTAAATTTCAGCTGTAAACAAACTCAATTCTTTTTATGTCTCTTACTCACTACCTAATAAAGGATAAAGCCTAAATGTTAGAATGTATAGTGGATTTTCTATGCCTTGCTGTTCCACCCTTGTCTTGGTCAGTAACAATCCAATGTCCCCAGACATCAGCACAACAGTTTTATTAAATATATCTGTCAAGGCAAATACCGGCACAGCAATCTGATGGGACAAGGAGAGCTTCTGGTCAAGGGTATGTCCAGAGCAGATGACAGTGGAGGTAGCAAACAGAAGACACTTTACACCTACTTGTCAATACATCCAATATGGAGAGCATTATAAAAGAACAAAAAAAGTCATCATATTTCATATTACAGTAACACTCCAGGGCCAAGAGGAAGCCTAAAGAACAAGGAAACAGATCATTTCATCGAAGACACAGTCACTCACTGGAATTACAGTTTGAAATCAGCCTGCGGGGAAATGCCTGGGTATGAACTCAGAAAAACAAACAGGTTCAGGGATGTTTTCTTAAATTCTATTCAAAGTGTTAAAGAATGACTATTCTGTTCTGATCCAAAGAGATGGTATTTTTGTGGGAGGGATATATATATATATATATATATTTATATTTTTATGCTATCTGAATTTTTCCAACTATCTCTGGCTTCAAACTTCTGTTCTGAAGGATCATTATTGCTCTGAACCATGAAATTAGTTACCTTCTTGAAAGCTGCTGTAAAAGCTGATGTGAGAGGACAGTAAGCAAATGGTATAAATATGATGATCTAAAATGAAAAAAAAAATGAACTGGCCATGTCAAGGAGTATTGTATTTGAAAAGTATACATCTTTATTTTAGAATAAATTATATAAAATTATTAAAAAAAGAATAGCTAAATAAAGTTAATATAATTAGAAGAATTACATCTGTCATTTTAGTACTGAAATATTACAATTGGCTCTGTATTTTAAAGGATGGAAAGACTTTTTAAATGCTGAATCAATGCAAGGATGCTGTTGGTAAATTTAATGTCTCACATTCTTTATCTTTCATTTATATCGGGAATACCATAACTGAATGGACCTTCATTTAGTCATTTCTATTCTAATCCCCAAAAATACAGTAGAGTATTGGCCCAACATTCCCTGAACTGAAGTCATGCTCTGTTTCTGTTTTCTACTACAAGCAAACACATAGTTTTTAGAGTCTCTTCAAAGCATCCCGGGGAATTTGATATAATTTTTTTTTTCAAAAGTAAACATGATTTTATGAATGTAAGACTGACACTGAAGAACAAGACCTGAAAATATTTCTTCACAATTACAATATTCTTATGGCTAAATATAAAGCACCAATACCCAAATTGTTTGGTTGCTCAAATCTTTTTGAGAACACGTGAAGTCGGAAACCTAAGCAACTTTATAAGTGTCCTGGTTTCAGGATTAACCCACAACAATAAGTAATCTGTTTTTTTCTTAACAGGTGTCTGAATTTTCATCTTTAATTTACTTCTGTACAGTTTAGGCTTCAGGAATCTAAGCACCTAAATCTCCCAAGAAAATAACAGGGGGGTTCCTGTTTATCAAGATGCACATGAAAATGTGAGCCTATGCTATAAAATATTACATTTCTTTTTTGACATCACACTCACTGTTTATCTGTAAGTGCCATTCCTTCAGTGCCAATCAATCATACAGAAAATTCTGAGCTGAAATTCAGTATGTGACTAAAAGAAATAGTAGTATTATCTTAAACTAGCTGAAATCTGAGACACGCAGTTAAAGGTTTAGCCAAGGACAAGAGCTTTATGCCCTCTCACTCCTACAGGTTTATTAAAATTCAGGACCATTTAGGAGTAAATGTAACTATCTCGAGGATGGTTATTACATAGCCTGATCTGAAATGTCAGCAGCTGACAGAGTCTGTGTTCCAGGCTGAAATAAAGAATACTGTGAAAACCATAATGTTCTTAACCCTGGGACTCCTGAAAGCAGCTGCAAAAATCTTTGACTTCGGTAGAGGTAATTTTTTGCTCTTAGTGGCTGAGGCCTTTTGCAGTCGTGCTGTGTACTGCAATTAGGTGTCATTCAACTCTGATTTAATATTGATACTTTGATAGA